CTTGCAGATGTGAGCATTAAAGAAGCTCAGCTTTCGCAATGTACCACTGCAGATTCATTGTCGGCCTCGGTTTTGGCTGACGAACCTGCAGCCGTGGAAGAGCAAGGGCAAACTGATGTCCCACTGCCACAACAAACTAGCATGGACACCCCTATAGTTTCCGAGGACAAACCAGAAGGAGAAGCAGCAGAGCTATCCACAGAGATCAGCCAGATGGATGAGCGCAGGCTAAAGTGTCTGAGGAGCTTTCAGCAGATTCTTCGTGAGAAGAGAGAGACTAGGCGCAGCCTTGCCAGTGCGTCCACCTTCTCTCAGGAGGAGTTTGAGCAAGGTAGTCATTACATGACATTTAATGTTGGGCTCATCTGTTGTTTTATTGTATGCATTTTATTTGGTTGTACAACTTTTTCAGTATCAATGGCGGCCAATAACAATAACAGCCAATACTGGTCATTAACCGGAGAATATTGGATTTATTAAGCTGTATTACACTCTGAGATGTGTTGTGTTAACGAAGAATTTAGCAATTGATCAAACTGATTCAGTTAATTTAACTCTTTGAGTCAGGACTGGATAAACATATCTGATTAATGCACGTTTTAATTTGGGTTTTTTTTGCTTTTTTTGTGATTAGAGCAGATGAACCATTAAAATATTTCAAATGAAGAGCGATATGAACACACTTCATCTTCTCAGTAAAGGAGAATGGGTATTTTAATTCATTCAGACGTCTATAAATGGTAACTGAGTCATCATTTAACTTTTTTGTCAACACAAGTGTTTCTAGAAGAACAAACAGGAAAACTTTTCCTTCCCAGCTTCCTGTCATCAAAGCCTCTTCCCGTTACTGAAACTCTTTGATCTGTCCTGGTTGCAGTGCATCGTTTTCGTTGATGAAAGCTTAACCACCGGTGTCCTCTTTAGATACCCTCACCCAGAGGTTATGAATGAGCCCCAGTACCAAAAGGTTCCTTTGGGTATTTACCGTACCAAACGTTTTCTGCTGGCGCTACACTTTTCTTGTCCCGTGAGAGTAATGTATCACCTGCCACTCAAGAGTCCCTTACTCCTCTAAGGCAGTGGCCATTTGCTGAATTAGAAAACATTAATTATCTCCTTGGAAAGCTAGCCTCACATTAAAGAGGAAGGAGAAGCGAAATATTAGGAGTCATTTTCATGATAAATTATACATGTTAATGAAACATTTATGACCTCGGACCTCATCTATCTGATAGCTCAGCAACTGTGCTGCTTTTAGCATTACTCAGGAATTAACAACAAAATGAATAATCCAGGGTGCGGCTTGTTATTTCACAAACTAGTCTGTGACTGTTTTCCATTTGTTTTTCTTTTTTCTTCTGTGTTGTGTTACAGATGGAAGTCAAGATGGAGATCAGGTTACTTGTTTTGTGGTTTCTACCCCATTAAAATGACAAACGCAGTATTTTTAAAGAAACTGTTCTTTCTATGATTCTATTTCTGTTGTATTTATACATTTCCATCATGCTTGTGTCTATATTTAATTTTCCTTTTGCATTTATATCACTTAGATGTTCAGTTATATGTAGTTATGTATATGCAATAATGCCCGCACTGATTAGGACATAAAAGTGGTGACGTGTGTTAGTCACTGTGGTATTTCCTTTAATACCCGTTAGAAGAAAAAACAAAAACATGGTAAATATTTGGTTTGTGTTTTCTGGGAGCACATGTTATTTGTGTTTACTGTACAAGGGGAAACCACATTAATGAGGCTCATATATGCATGACGACAATTCAATCGATTGCAGAGTCCTGTTTGGCATGCGGTACTGAAACTCAACCAACACATTTGAGTCGCTGTGCTTCTGTCTTGTTATTTCCTTTTCACTTTCTTCTATTGCTCATGCTTGTGCATGTGCATGCACCACTGTGATGAATCCAGTAAAGCCAGACCCAGTAGCTGAACGCCTGACCTGTGACTTTCTTTTTCAGAGCCGAGATCAAGATGGTGACCTCAGCAAGCACCCGTGGGCCAAGCCAGGGTCAGTAAAGGTCTTCTGATGTGTGTGTGTTCGTTCGTTCAAGCGAGTTAGTGTGATACAGTCGACCCTAGAAATTTGCAGGTGTCACGTTTCTAGAGCACCCGTGAATAGTGAAAAACTGAATTCTGGGTGTGGTCATAAAATGCATATAAATTCCTGTTATTATGGTTTAAACCCTAAATTTGGGCGCCATCTTAGGGCTTTAAGAAGACTGCTATGACACGAGAATGTTGGAGATGCAATAAGCAGAGATATAAAACGCTCTCAGATTGGCTACTTACAAATCTCCGCCCCCAGCACAAGCTACAAATTCCTCCCAAAAGATTGCGGAGGATATTTGTGGTTTTTGTGGGTAGTTAGGTCTAAGGAAAAATCTGCAAAAAAAAGGCCATGAACTGAAGGTACGCTGTACTCTGGGTTTTCCTTATTTAAAAACTGATCAATACATTTCCACATTCGATTGTTGTGTACAGGGGGAACACACCGTTTGGCATCGACAGCATGCCAGATCTCCGCAAGAGAAGGCCCATTCCCCTCGTTAGTGAGCTGGTAAGCAAACACTCAATCATTTTCCTTGTGACATTTTAATTTTGACCCTTTCTGACCCTAAACTTGATCAGCTAATTGAAAATAAAGACAGCCACCTTTCATACTGACTTGTATTTGAATATGCAGATGTACCAGTTTGAAAATGTCAGTCAATCGTGACAAAGCGAGCTAAACAATCTCCCACATGAGAGCAATAAAACAGGTTTATCATTTAACTGCAATGATGGAGTCATGTGGCACTGCTGTGAATAATGAACAACTCGCTTAATTAAATTTTCCCAGCTAACATGAATTTCATATGTGATTATATCTAAAATTATTTTGCATTTCTAATAATTGACAAAGTGAAAGTCTAGCTATATAACTATATTCTCAAACATCTTCACTGACCCATCCAAATCATCAGGTGATGCAATCACTTCCACGGCCACAGGTGTATAAGATAAAGCAGCCGGACATGCAAGAGTGAGTCGCTCCCAGGAGCTCAGGGAATTCCAGCAGTGTAGTGAAATTTCCAATCAGTTAAATATTCCACAGTCAGCTGTTTGGGGTATTATAACAAAGTGAAAGTGACTGGGATCACAGCAACTCATTGTGCCGAGTGTAAAGTTTGGTGGAGAGGGGATTATGGTGTGGGGCTGTTTTCCACCCTTTAGTTCCAGTGAAAGAAACTCTTCCATTTTGGACAATTCCATGCTCTCAACATATTGGGAACGGTTTGGGGATGGACCCTTCCTGTTCCAACATGACTGTGCACCAGTGCGCAAAGCAAGGTCCATAAAGACATGGATGAGAGATTGTGGTGTGGAAGAACTTGACTGGTCTGCATGAAGTCCTGACCTAAACCCAGTAGAACACCTTTGACTGCAGTGTCTGACCTTTCAAATGTGCTTCTGGAAGTTTGGCCTAAAATTCCCATAAACACTCCTAATCCTTCCCAGGAGAGTTGAAACTGTTGAAGCAAAAGGTGGGTCGAATTAAGAACGGGAGGTTTTATTATTGGTTAGTTAACAGTATTTTTATCGTATGCACCAAAACAGCAGTGTGAAATAAATGAATATCTGCAGCTTCCATTCCTGATCACTCAGTTGAAACGTTTGGGTTAAAGAAACTGCTGATAAATATCCGAAATAAAGCCAAGGCAGTATAGATCATAGGGGACTTAGTATGTTCATTTCCTGTTTAACCCTTGTATGGTGTTCGGGTCTGTGAGACCCATGCCATTTAGAGGCTGTTGCCCCTTTAGGCAGTATATACCATCAAAACCTGCAAAATATGGTATAAAGATATGTACACTTGATTATAACTGATTTTCTTGTTTTTATAACATTTTATTGGAAAAAAACGAGAAGCACATTAATTCATAAATGCGATCGAACAAAGGTAAAGGGACAAAATTAACCGTGTTTGCTGTTCACATGGCTCGCAATTGGGATGAAGTAAACATCTGTTGAGTAATTTAACATAAAACTGTTTGATAGTGTTAATTGGAAAGCCAAAACTCCACCAGACCCATGAACACTGGCTGAGTAACAAAAATACGAACACCATACAAGGGTTAAGCTCCTCCCCTTTTAAGCTAACTTTCTTCTTATTGGCTGCTACCATAAACTAAAGGTTTGAGCAGCAGAGGATCAGCAAAGGGAGGGTGGGGCTTCTGTGCTCACAGCCAAAAGTGCGTCTCAAAGTTATCGTGTAAGGTAAAAAAAGCTGAATCCGTTCACAGGAGTCTGAAGGTTCAGCTTTTGGTTCACAGGGTTTACTAACCTGTACAGTACCAATACATACAAGTCAGAAAATAAATAAAAGCATAATAGTCCCCCTTTCAGATTCATGAGCTTCAATGCTGAGCTTTGGTGGAGTACACACTGTTGGCCTGACGATGGTCACCAAAGCAACCGTAGCTCTCATTTGCTTGTTTCTTTTCATGTACCCATTGCACAAATATGTATTACGGGGATTTTCCATGTTGCTGTTTTGTCTAGTGCATAGTTTTTGTTTCTCTTTGTAACTGTGGTGCACGAGATGTTTTGCCATAACTTTACTTATGGATTTCAGCTGTAATGATCGATTAAAGTCCTTCAGTTTCTAAAGCGGCAATTAAAAAAAACTGATGCAACAGTTGTACATACTACAATCACCTGATTTGATTCTTAAAGATTGATCATTTGCAGGTTAGATGCAGGATATTGAAATAGCACTCGTACAGCAGCGCTCGCTGGGTAGTAGTTTGTTTGCAAGCAGTGAATTGTTGGTTTCAGGGTAAAAGCTGCTGGTCCTCTCAGAGGGGAACCTGTTTGTTTTGTCTCTAACCTTTTCTTTCTTCTTGTTTTCTTTCTTTGCACATGTCTCCCTGCCTTTATCGGCCCTCAGGCGATGGTGAGTAAAAGACCAGAGATTTCAGCTGCTGTACTTTATTATTTGTTTGAGGCGCTTTGTTTCAAACTCTGCTTTGTAGCGAAGCATTTTGATCTGCTCAGTGAGAGTTTTTCTTTTGTGGGTTTTCATACATTCAGTGTGAGCATGCACACACATGCAGCACATACGAGTCAAATATAAATCCGTTTATTTCAAAATAAGCTGACAAAACTTTTGTGAATATTTTCAGATTTGCCTTTTTTTGAGGGAGATTTGTGTTTTCGATTAAACACGATGTTAACCGCTCCCTTTTTTTTTCACATAACACATCCACTACTCTACAAAAACGCTAATAAATGTTAAGGTAAGTAGTGGCTTTCTCCCCTCAGTCTTCAGCTGAGTACTTTGGAGAGGCTCAGACGTAGATCCGTTGGCTGCAGCTGTGAATATTCAGTCCCTGAGACTTGTTTGATTAAAGAAACTCGTCTCCTTTGATTTAAAGTGATGCTCCAGGGTGAAGGTCACTCTTTCAATGGCTGATGTGACAGATCAGGTTTGAAGGGATCTAAAGATTCTTGAACAAGCTCATCTAACTTCATCAAGCTTTGTCAATTCATCAATCATAAAGAGTAAGTGACCCAGACAGGAGATGATGTCCAGGGATGAACAAGAAACTTTTCAGATGGAACTAAAGTAGTTTGAAGATAAAACTGCAGAAACTCGGAAAGAAGAGTAAAAATGCGAACAGACAATGGTTTGTGATGTTACCTGTAAAGAGTAAAAGTTTCAGATAAATAGAAATAAGATAATTACAAAATTGCTGCTATTTTTACAATGCAAATCGCACTTACAGCAGAGAGCTTTTTAGGAGCAACATGGTGTCCAACCAAAGAGTAATGCAGCCAAACCAGGAAACATGCACACATCGATACAGTGGGATACATATTGACTAGATGTAGTGGACTTCTGGTTCTGGCTGATTGTGATGTTATGTGGACTGAGCTGCAGCGTGCCGTATTTCCGGTTTTACTTTGATAGTCACGTGTGCTTTGTTAGCGTGTTTAGTTTTGCTTCTCTTGTCACGTCCTGCCTAATCAGTTCCAGCTGTGTTTCCCTCCTGTTTCGTTCTCCGTGTTCTCCGATGTGTCTTTTAGTCCTCAGTCTTCTCCTGGTCGTTGTGGCGTTGTTAACCTACACTCTCCGTGCTGTGTTTGCTCCCTTCGTGTTCCGGGAATTCCCTAGCTCGTGTTTCCCAGTTTAGTCTCCAGTGTACAGTTTACATTCTAGTTTTTGTGTTTGACATTATAGTTAGCTTTTGTTAAGTTA